CACACACACACACACACACACACACACACACCTCCAACAACAACCCCCACACATCCTCCAACAACCACTACACACCAACATCACCCCCCACACACACACACATCCTCCAACAACCACCTCACACACCCCAACATCAACACCCCCACACACACACACACATCCCCAACAACCACTACACACCCCAACATCACCCCCCACACACACACACACACATCCTCCAACAACTACCACACACCCCAACATCACCCCCCCACACACACACACACACACACACACACACACACACAAACACACCTCCAACAACTACCACACACCCCAACACCCCCCCCCACACACACACACACACACACACACACACACACACACACACACACACACACACACACACACACACACACACACACACACACACACATCCTCCAACAACTACTCCACACCCCAACATCACCCCACACACACACACACATCCAACAACCACTCACACCCACACCCACCCCCCACACACACACACACACACACACACACATCTCCAACAACTACTCACACACCCCAACATCACCCCCCACACACACACACACACACACACATCCTCCAACAACTACTCACACACCCCAACACACACACACACACACACACACACACACACACACACACACACACACACACAAACACACACACACACATCCTCCAACAACCACCACACACCCCAACATCACCCCCCCACACACACACACACACATCCCTCCAACAACTACTCACACACCCCAACATCACCCCAACACACACAACACACCTCAACATCACCCCCAACATCATCCCCAACATCACCCCCAACATCACCCCCAACACACACACACCCCCCCCCCCACCCACACCCCCCAACATCACCCCCCAACATCACCCCCCAACATCACCCCCAACATCACCACCCCAACATCACCCCCAACACACACCCCAACACACCCCCCAACATCCTAACATCACCCCCAACATCACCCCCAACACACCCCCCAACAACATCACCCCCAACATCATCTCAACACACCCCCAACATCACCCCCAACATCACCTCACATCACCTCTAACAACACTCCCCAACACACCCCCAACATCACCCCCCAACATCACCCCCAACATCACTCCCCCAACATCACCCCCAACATCACCCCCCCAACATCACCCCCCCAACACACCCCCCAACATCACCCCCAACACACCCCAACACACCCCCAACACACCCCCCAACACACTCCCCCAACATCACCCCCAACACATCACCCCCAACATCACCAACACACCCCCAACATCACCTCCAACATCACCCCCAACATCACCACCCCAACATCACCCCAACATTCACCCCCCCAACACCCCCCAACATCACCCCCCCAACATCACCCCAACACTCCCACCCAACATCACACTCCCCAACATCACCCCCCAACATCACCCCCCAACACACCCCCAACACACCCCCAACATCACCCCCAACATCACCCCCAACATCAATCACCCCCCAACATCACCCCAACATCACCCCCAACATCACCCCCCAACATCACCCCCAACATCACCCCCCAACACACCTCCTCATCACCCCCCAACATCACCCCCACCACCCCCAACATCACCCCCAACATCACCCCCAACATCACCCCCAACATCACCCCCAACATCACCCCCACACTCCAACACCCCCAACATCACCCCCCAACATCACCCCCAACATCACCCCCCAACATCACCCCCAACATCACCCCACACCCCCATCACCCCCCAACATCACCCCCAACACACCCCAACACACCCCCACACCCCCAACATCACCCCCCAAACATCACCCCCCAACATCACCCCAACATCACCCCCAACACACCAACACACCACCCAACACACCCCCACACACCCCCCAACATCACCCCCCAACATCACCCCCAACACACCCCAACACACCCCCCAACATCACCCCCCAACATCACCCCACATCACCCCAACACACCACACACCCCCACCCCACACACCTCCACACACCACACACACACCACACCCCACACACCCCAACACACCTCACATCACCCCAACATCACCTCCCCAACATCCCAACATCCCAACATCACCCCCAACATCACCCCACACACCCCCAACATCACCCCCCCACCCCCCACATCACCCCCACACACCCCCAACTCACCCCCCAACATCACCTCCAACATCACCCCCCAACATCACCCCCCCAACACACACCCCCCACACACCCAAACATCACCCCCCCCACACCCCCAACACACCCCAACATCACCCCCAACACACTCCCAACATCACCCCCAAACATCACCCCCCAACATCACCCCCAACATCACCCCCAACATCACCCCCACACCCCACACTCACCCCCCAAACACTCCCCAACATCACCCCCAACATCACCCCCCCAACATCACCCCCCAACATCACCCCCACACACAACCCACATCCCCCAACATCCCCAACACACTCTCCAACATCACCCCCAACATCACCCCCCAACATCACCCCCAACATCACCTCAACACACTCCCAACATCACCCCAACATCACCCCCAACATCACCAACACATCACCCCACACACCCAACATCACCCCAACAACATCACCCTCTCCAACATCACCCCCAAACATCACCCCCCAACATCACCCCCCAACATCACTCCCCCAACACACCCCAACATCACCCCCAACATCACCCCCAACATCACCCCCAACATCACCCCCAACATCACCCCAACATCACCCCCAACATCACCCCCCAACATCACACCCAACATCACCTCCCAACATCACCCCCAACATCACCCCCAACATCACCCCCAAACATCACCTCCCACCAACATCATCCCAACATCACCCCCCAACATCACCCCCCAAACACACCCCCCAACATCATCACCCCCAACATCACCCCCCAACATCACCCCCAACATCACCCCCAACATCACTCCCACAACATCACCCCCCAACATCACCCCCCCAACATCACCCCCAACATCACCCCCCAACATCACCCCCAACACACCCCCAACATCACCCCCAACATCACCCCCAACACACCCCCAACATCACCAACACCCCCAACATCACCCCCAACACACACACATCACCCCCAAACATCACCCCCAAACACCCCCCAACATCACCCCACACACCCCCCAACACACCTCCAACACACCCCAACATCACCCCCAACACACCCCCAACACACCCCCAAACATCACCCCCCCAACACACCCCCAACACACCCCCAACATCAACACCCCCAACACACCCCCACACACACCCCACACACCCCCAACATCACCCCCCAACATCACCCCCAACATCACCCAAACATCACCCCCCCAACATCACCCCCCCAAACATCACCCCCAACATCACCCCCCAACATCACCCCAACACTCACCCCCAACATCACCCCCAACACCCCCCACCACCCCCAACATCACTCCCCAACATCACCCCCCAACATCACCCCAACATCACCCCCCAACATCACCCCAACATCACCCCCAACATCACCCCCAACATCCCCAACACTCTCCCCAACATCACACCCCCACACCCCCCAACATCACCCCCAACATTCCCCAACATCCCAACATCACCCCCAACATCCCACACCCAACATCACCACACCAACACACCCCCACCAACACTCCCCACCAACATCACCAACACCACACTCCCCAACACAACCCAACCACCCCCCAACACACCCACCCACACACACCCCCAACACACCCCCACACCCCCAACACACCCCCCAACAACACACCTCACCAACACACCCCACCAACATCACCCACCAACATCACCCCCTACCAACATCACCCCCCACCAACATCACCCCACCAACATCACTCCCCACCAACATCACCCCACCAACATCACCCCCACCACACCACCCCCACCAACATCAATTCTCCAACATCACCCCCACTCACACACCCCACCAACATCACCCCCAACATCACCCCTAACATCACCCACAACACACCAATATCCACACCAACATCACCCAACACCCCAACATCACCCCAACATCACCCAACACACCAACATCACCCCACCAACATCACCCCCACCCAACATCACCCCCACCAACATCACCCCACCAACATCACCCCACCACCAACATCACCCCCACCAACATCACCCCCCCACCAACACCACCACCAACATCACCCCCCAACATCACCCCCAACATCACCCCCAACATCACTCCCCCAACATCACCCCCAACATCACCCCCAACATCACCCCCATCTCAACATCACCCCCAACATCACTTCAACATCACTCCCAACATCACCCCCAACATCACCCCCCCAACATCACTCCCTAACATCACCCCCAACATCACCTCCCCAACATCACTCCCAACATCATTCACATCACCCCCAACATCACCTCCACATCACCCCCCAACATCACCCCTCCAACATCACCCCCCCAACATCACCCACTAATCCCCTATCCTACCTCTGCCTGACATTGCATCAGGTCAGTTACATGAGACCCATTAATCCCCCACAGCTCCATGGGAGTGGAAAATTAGCCTTATTAATATAACACAGCTTCATTCATGTCCATATCATATAGATTTTGAATTTTTAAATATATTTATTTAACTAATCTTTAAATAAACTATTCTGGATTATTATAGTAAAGTAATGGAGTTTATAATTTAAATACGACTGCATTTGCAGACTGGTAGTTTAGACTCAATGAAAACATCCCTAGCACTCGGAAATGTTCTGGGGAAGTGGGCTAGTGTCCGTCTGTGTAAGATGTCTTGTTTAGATATTCAGAATCTTTTTCCCAGTACTGTAACTGGAAAAGATTCCAGGGATAAGGAATTTTTCCCATTTTGAAAAAGTCTTCTGGTTAGCCGGAAATCTCTCATTCGCAGAAGTGCTCCGCACCAATTGTTCCGGCTCAGGAATATCACTCTATTTTTTTTTCAGCAAAACAGGCCCAAAAGAAGGAAATTGCCTCACTACAGGAGTTTGCTGAAGTTAGAGGGTTTGATCTACAGTTGGAGGCCTGGGATGTGGACTATTGGAGGCGAAAACAGAAACGTCATTTATACAGGTACTGTACTGTAGGATCCTCCTAAACTCATAGTAATCAGCCCATCTCCAGTAATTTTAATTACAGTATTACATTATCATTACAGGTTGACAATCCCTTATCCGAAATCCTTGGGGCCAGAGGCATTTCGATTTTTTTCCTCCTCTCTCTTGTATTAGCCCACCTGGGGACAGGTAACTGACCCACATTGAACCTAGGCGAAAAATACTACTAATAATAATACTAATACTAATAATAATACTACTAATAATAATTCATAGGTCTAGGTCGCCACTTTTTATCTTTTTTCATTCTTGTATTTCTTTATTATTATTATTATTTTATTAATACAGTACTGTATTATTGTTATCATATTATAAATTTGATTATTAAATTTTATTATTATTATTATTGTTCTCATTATTATTTTATTTTTGATTTATTTTTAATTAAAATTTTTATTTACTATGAATAATTATTATTATTATTATTATTATTATTATTATTATTATTATTATTATTATTATTATTATTATTATTATTATTATTATAATAAGTATTATTACTATTACTATTACATTTTTGCCCCCCTGCGATGTGGGTCAGTTATCAATGCCTGGGTGAGCTAATCCCTGTTAAAAAAAAAAAAAAAAAAATGCTCCACAAAAAAAACTTTCGGTTTTCAGAGCTTTTCGGTTTTCGGATAAAAGGTTGTCAACCTGTACCACATGATTTATCTAGTGGATGTCAGTTCTTGGCTGGAATGGAAAGGATCCCTTTATTTTCAACACCTCCATATTATTTAGAGGAACATTTGCTTCCATTTCTTTTGCTTCAACACAATGGAGGTTCTCCATGGGAAGAGTATTTTGCTCATGTTGAATAACATGTCCGAGCTGGCATGTATGAAAAATTAGCTCTTAATGTATTTACATTCTGGGAAATTTCTAAAAAAACAGACATTGATTTATGAAGCATATTAGCTTTACTGTTCTATTTCTGCTTTATTTATTGGTACTTTAGTCATTAACCCTCTTGTGCATTGTGATGCGAATTGCTTCAAATTGTTGGGTGCCAGTTTTGTAACGGTGACACTAATTGCATCATTAAACTTTAAACGATTTGTAACGATTGCTTCTTAGTAACAATGTAACAGTATAACACAGTAATGGGGAGAACATAATATCTCTACCTTTACCAACTGTGTATCTGTTGAAGTGACTGTTACTTGTTTATTATAGCTACTTGTGAAGCTGTCATATATGTAACAACCTTCCTGGGATGTCACCACTTATAACACTCACTTGTGAAGCATGTTACTTTATATTCTAGACATACTAAAATATAGATAAAAGATTTATTGGATCTTCTGCAGTGAAATCCAGTATGTTCCTTTTGTTTGTTTATTATAAAAGAGTTCTATGTACACTTTCAAAACGGATTATCACTGTAACTTAACCACTGTAGCTATGAGTGTTAAATGAGTATGGAGGCTATGTTAAAGTACTGTAGCTCTGCTAAGTATGTCCTGTCGATGTGATAGTTGAGTGAGAATGAGTAGGGACCCATCGAGGGAGAACGGAAATTTATCCGACGTCCTCCCTCGAGGGAAGACGGAACCATCCATGATGGCTCTAAATATCGTCTTCCTCTCGTCAGGGTTATCAAACTACTGCTCGCAAAAGGTGGCCAGAGAGCCGGTTACTTAATTCTTAGCACAGCACCAAGTGACGCGACTTCCCCTTGGGCACACCTTATCACGTGCTATGAATATGAGCCTCAGAGCTAGTGGAAAGTTACAAGGGGTGATAGTTATACAAGTCTAATGTAATTAACCCATTTATATAAATACTTCTGCCTATAAGACGGGATAATACATCGCTCGGTCACACCTTCCGAACTCTCCGAGGAATAAACTAATCTCACAGAAAATACCCTATACAGTGGTCCCTCGGTTAACGAATGGTTAGATTAACGAAATTTTGTTTAACGAATTACCCCCCATAAGGATCTTCAATTAAGTTAAAGAACAAAACTTCGATTAACGAAATCCTTACTCACATCACGTTTTGTTGTGAGCATCAGCTGATGGGCTAGTCTGCCAATTCAGTAATCTGTTCTATGTTTACATTCGTTTCCAGTGGAGTAAATATGAAACAGTGCTCATTAATATTTTTGCCTTTTTATATAAATATTATTAGTCATTTTAAAATTTATTTAACTTATTAATATATGCAGTACACGGAACTAGTTTTTTGTGCGCCCATCAGACGCTTGACTCGGCCACCAGGCGTCAATTGGGCTTTGTTGACAGTGGAGTGAACATCTATTTTGTGTCTTGAATATTTTATCATTTTTACATTGAAATTATTGGTCATTCTGAAATTTAGTTAACATATTGATAATATATAGCGCAGTGCAATGTTGATTTAAATCAAATAATCTCGAAATACGCCTAGTGAACTTAAAATTTTATTGGTGAAATAACGGCATCAAGCATGGGTCCCCTGAAAGGGTTCTACCACGGTATGACTGAAGGATTTACAATGTGATAATATCATTGTAGAATTGTCATATTTGCAGTTTAAAATGATGTGTCTATGACAATAACATTAATAACATTACTAACCTGACATATTTGCGGTTTGAACATTATTATAGAGCTATCATATTTCTAGTTTGAAAAGATGTGTCTATGACATCATTATCATTAATATAAAACTATCATATTTGTAGTTTGAAAGGTTGTATCTATGACATTAACATTAATATAGAACTATCATATTTGTAGTTTGAAAAAAATGAATTTATATAAATTAGACAATACAATCACTGGTAATATATTACATCAATATATATTAAAATAAGAAAGATACAGGTACCTCTCGTTTTGTGCTTGTTTTTTTGCCCATTTTCGAATTAACACGAGGTCCAAAATCCAAAAAAAAAATACTAATATATAATAATTTACACGCTTTGTTCACAATAACTTGCATAGTTCACGGAGCGGCCGGCAGACGTCTCTCGCTTCGCTGTTTGCTCAGTCCTTCCCGCTCACTCTACTTGTGCACCCCACACGTGCGGCTGTGCTACCTCGCCAATTTTCTACGTATTTATCATGGCTCCCAAGCGTCCTTCTACCCCGCAGAAAATGCTTCTAAGAAGTCAAGGTTGTCCTTAACCCTGGCGCAGAAGGTGGAAGTGTTCGACCACTACGATAACGGCCAGAAGAACCTCTCTCACTTACGCCTCTCACTCACTGTTATATATACATTAGTACCCCGATTTACGCGGTCAATTGAACCCACAGGGTACCGCGGAAAGTGAAATCCGTGTAAATGGAACAACAGAACATATGGGATTAATTCCAATAGAGACTGGCCCGACCCCTAAACTCCACTTTTTCCGACACAATACCCATGTTGTAGTAAAAATAACGTCTAAATTTTATGATGGTATGCTCACACAATTAATATTTAAGAGAAATACAGTCGCCAGGTTAATGTCCATTCAAATAATAGAATCAAATCCCCCCCCTCCCCTCTTCCCAGCTCACTGGCCCCTACCTCTCTCAGAAATGATTGGGTGAAACACTAGACTTTAACGTTTAGTAATAAATAATACCTCAGACTAAAGTTAGGATAATATAATTGACATTTCTGGATTCCTTGCAGGTCAGGGAATATTTTGAATGTAAAATTCATATATTTTGCACAAAAGATAAAATACTTGCTTTGTGTAAACCAAATTATTACATTAGATCTAAAATTTGTATGTCTAATGCAAAATCCATGATGTTTATATTCAAAATGATCATCATATTGCAAGAATTCCAGCAATGTAAATTATATTCTGGTCCAGTAATTTGTATGAATTTTATGAGCTAAAACAAATATATTCAGTTAATAAAAAAAAAAATATTCTTCACGACACTATCTGTCAATCAAAGTACCCCAACTTGCCTCCCCCCCTCTTCCAACCGCGCCAGATGGTCAGTCGGTCCCAACCCTCCCCCCCACCCCCCACCTTCCCTCCCTACCAGAGAAATGTTGGGTGAAAAAACTAATTTTAACTTTTAGTTACAAATAATACCTCAGACTAAAGTTAGGATAATATAATTGACATTGCTGGATTCCTTGCAGGTCAGGGAATATTTTGAATGTAAACTTCATATATTTTGCACAAAAGATAAAATACTTGCTTTGTGTAAACCAAATTATTACATTAGATCTAAAATTTGTATGTCTAATGCAAAATCTATGATGTTTATATTCAAAATGATCATCAAATTGTAAGAATTCCCGCAATGTAAATTATATTCTGGCCGGGTAATTTGTATGAATTTTATGAGCTAAATAAATAAAAAAAAAATTATACTTCACGCGTATATGGGTAGATGAACCTCGGAAAGTGAAAGTTCGGTTCTGGCGAGGCACCGCGTATATGAGAAATCGCGTAAAGTGAAACCGCGTAAAGCGGGGTAATACTGTATCTTTATTTTCACTACAGTATGTATTTCAAATGTAACAATAAATGTATGGAATAAGTTGTACATAAGTGTGATTTGCCTGAGTGTACAAGTGGTGTAAAGAAGGGTTGTATAAACAGGGCTGATGCACACTCCCATCTTGCCTCAGACGCCTCTCTCACTCACTGTTTTTTTGCGCGAAATTTAATTTACACGACCTCTTCAAGAATGTAACCCTCGTGTAAATCGAGAAGTACCTGTACTTATAAAATAAAAATAACTTACAGTATCACGACAGCTAACATGTGGTGGTATGCTGTAGAAATATATATGTATTTATAAATATAGTATATGGCTGTAAAATACCAATTCTGAAGTCTTGTTTGAAAAATTCTAGGAATTGCTTGAAAGTGTGAAAATGTTGCCGCAAATCCTGTAGACTTGTGTGTGTCATTCATAGGAGACACAGCTGATACGAAGGTCCCGGTGGCTGGGTCAATATCCACAAAATTCCTGAGTACAGCAAACTGTAGAATGTGCTCCCTGCCAGTGA